AATATGTACAGTATATATGTGTGTGTGTGTGTGTGTGTGTGTGTGTGTGTGGGGGTGTGTGTGTTTGTGTGTGTGTGTGTGTGTGTGAGACAGCAACACTGACTCACGCTACACACTTGCAGAGTGACAATCAGCTCATACGCTTCAAGTACGAGCATGCATGTAAAAAAACTCAAGCGTCTAATCACTAGCCGTGACGCTGGATGACTTGCAAGTAGTTCTCAGTTCAAATGATCGTTTTCCCCTAGGAAACAATGTCAAGTTAATAGAATTGAATTAAGTCGGCTCAGTCCCATGGAGACCCAAACACAGTTTGACTTTTAATGCATTTTGGCCTCATTCTGCTTCATTTACTTGTCAAAGTAAAGTTCCAAAAGTGTATTTTCGCTCCCACTTGGCACCCACCAGGCCGATCGCTTGCCTCACTGATATTCACACTCTTCCAATTATCAATACACACAGCTGACGACGAGCTAATTAACACCCCTCTCACCAAAGAAATCGTCTCCTTGCAGGAGTGAGAAGGTCACCAGCTGCTGAATCAGTGCGTGCGTGTTGCGCGCGTGTGCCTCCGAGAGCCGCCGCGATTGGCCCAGTTCTATCACTCCGCTCGCATTTTCATCTCCTCTTGTACAAGGAAGAAATTGATGAAGGTTCACAGAGGTCTGTCATGTGCGAGCGACGTTATGATGCCGCAGGTCGATAAGGTGGCCAAAGGGAATTTCGCTCATGAGAGGATGGAGAAGTGGAGATGTGTGTTCATGCGTGAGTAGTGGTGCAGCTGCAGTAATAAAGATGGATGAGCTCATCTGCTGCAGCCATGATTAGGGCCTGTAAGTGGCACGCGTGTGAGTCTGTGTGTGTGAGTGTGTGTCTGTGTGTGCGTGTGTGTGTGGACTTCTCTCGTCACAAATAAAATGTTCATCCAAAAATTTAATTAGCCGTCTAACCCATTTGTCAAATGCATTCAGGGTTTTTCCTGGCCCAAATTGTGGTGGCGGTGGTACCGTTTGTCCCCAGTTTTTGTCTGACATATTTACATGCGCAGTGTTTGTTACCTCAACTTCAGAGTTACCCAACGTATACATTTAGGTTTTTTTAAAAATATGAGCTTGCAGGGTGAATTTGAGTTATGAGTGTTATCGTGCTACAGTGGCAGCAAACTTCAGAACAAGAAGCGATTTGGCAAAAAACGAGGCCAAGTGCATGCTTCAAGCACTCGACTGCTGCTCCCGCTTGGAGGTGACTTTAAAACTAAACATAAAACAAAGAGAATGACACATTGTGTATCTCACCAAAATGCATTAACTTTGATTGACGAAAGTCTGCTCGGTTCATGTTAATACACAATGCAAAAGGTCATAAACAGGCCCACGAAATTAGTAAGGGGTTGCGGTAATTATAATGGAAAATTTAAAAACAAATGGCAGCAAGACTGAGTCATTTTGAAGGCACATATTCTTTATCCTTTGAAAAAAAATCGGCTAATATTAATGCAGCTTAGTTGAGAGTCTTCTGTTTCATATCAAATCTATGCGTAAAATAGAATGTCAATGTATTACACTGCTCCCTGGTGACCATGACTATAATGAGCAAAACAATGCACAAACGGTTTAATTCTTGAAATCACATGAGTCAAACACATCACTTTATGTGGCCCGCGAAGGCAAATCAAGCATGTCAGCTTCCATGATGCTTGCTAAAATTTACACTAAAGTTTTTTATTCGTTAATAAGAGATATTGTAAGCATTTTCTTGTTACCAAACCCTTCATTACAGTCATTTAAAGAATTAATCAAATATTCTTCTTGACTCTTTTATATGGTTTCACAGTCATAACGGCCCCCCCAAGGGAAATAGTAACTTCAATGTGGCCCACAACAAAAATGAGTTTGATACCCCTGCTTTAAATCCTATACCGTATGTCATAAAGTGCATTATTGTAGAGAGTTATTTTTATTGTTTTATGAAAACATATTATAATTTGTTGTTGTTTCTTTGGGTGGTTGGCAGGGGTGCTAGAACGGATTAATGGCATTTACATTCATTTCAATGAGGCATGACGATTTGAGATTCCAAAAAAATGTTAGCTTCATTGAAGACGACATCCACAGTTGTGAATATGTGAATGATTGTTTGTTTTTTTGCACCTTGTGATTGGTTAGCTAACACTCCAGAATATACCTCGCCTCTCACCGAAAGTCAGCTGGGCTAGGCTGCAGCTCAACCGTAACCCTAATGAGGACACTCCATAGAAACGGACGGAAACATAATTCCGATAAATATTAACATTCTTGAAATGTTCGGCATCTATGCAACATTTATGCTAAGCAGCATCTTAAGCAATTAGTCCGAGGAGTCACTTCGAGTTTTTCCTTAGCGACCGTTGCCATCGTACTTGCTGCTCACGTAAGCGCTCCATTGTGTATCTTCTGAACTTGTCAAATACCCGTGAAGGTTAACTTTCAACGCGTGTCTCAATTCAAAGCTGGAACATCGCGTATCTAAGGCACCTGAATAGACCCAATGGGCTTTTGCAGCAAGCATTATACGAGACAGAGCTGCACGGTTTGGTCCTCGAGGGATGACAGGCGACGTGAATGCTGATTTCATGCTTCTCTCATGCATGTCCCTTATGAAATTGTACTGTCACAACAACAAACTTGATTTGCGCAGTTCGACAATTCTTTAGGTACATGTTGTAATGAGATCCAGCCATTCCGGCTGACTTTTGGAGAGAGAGTGAGAGAGAGACAGAGAGAGAGACAGAGAGACAGAGAGCGCAAGAGAGAGACATGGCTCTATATACACTACTCACAAAAATGTTGGGATATTGGGAATGATGCCAGCCGCATATCTGATTACTGGCAAGGCAAAGGTGTGAATGGCCTGGATCTTATTCTTGCCGTTCTCCTAACTAATCAGGATCTGCCTCAGCCTCCTGAGCTATTTGGCCGTGGACACCCTCTGTAGACACACAGACACAGACAAACACAAACACACACACACACACACACACACACACACACACACACACACACACACACACACACACACACACACACACACACACACACACACACCTGTATATGCACAGAATGAGGAAAAGACATGTTGTGATACTAGTGTGGTCTCAGGATTAATCTGCATTATTCTTCTTTTCCTAACATTATGACCAGTGCCTTGACAAAGTCAATAAAACTCAATTTTGATTGACACTCATCAGAGCGGAATTCATTTGACAATATGTTCATTATGAGCGGCCCGTGGTGGTCGACTGGTTAGCATGTCGACCTCACAGTGCAGAGGTGCAGGGTTCGATTTCAGCTTTGGCCTCTCTGTGGGGAGTTTGCATGTTGTCCCCATGCCTGCGTGGGTTTTCTCCGGGTACTCCGGTTTCCTCCCACATTCCAAAAACATGCATGACTGAGTTAATGGAACACTCTAAATTGTCCCAAGGTGTGAGTGTGAGCCTGGATGGTTATTCGTCTCTGTGTGCCCTGCGATTGGCTGACTACCAGTTCAGGGTGTCCCCAGCCTACTGCCCGAAGACAGCTGGGATAGGCTCCAGCATCCCCCGCAACCCTTGTGAGGATGAAGCGGATCAGAGCTAAGTGCGCCGCATCCCAATAAATGAATCGCTGACATTGAATATTTGCATGACATTGACTAAATGAATGCTTTATCCAGCTTTGATAAATGAGCAAATACTCTTCCAAACATGCACGTGAATCCCTATCGATGGTTGATTCCAGTCATGCGAGTTTTAAAATCAGACATTTGTGATCGGTTTGCCATTTTTGCACCACTGAAGTAAACAAATGGAAAGAGATGACAAAGCCACTCTAATCCCCGCTGCGCCCGTCTCCCCAGCTGCCTGTCGAATCTATTAGCCAGCGCTTTCATGCGGCTAACCGCATCGTCTTGATGTCAGAAGGGACCGCTTCAAACGACCCTCGGCTGCAAACAATCGCATGTCCAAAAGGTCACCTGTGAATCTTGCGTTAGTGAGTGCCTCCGCGTATGTACGCTTCCAATGTGCAACATACACGAGCTCTTGGTTCACATAAGGGTTCTGTCTGGCGTCCCACTATCAGCACTCAACAGCCAACTTCTGACAGGACTGGGCTGCAGCGAGTCACCCATTTGATCCACCGTTGCACTTTATGCTGGTGTTTATGGCTGAAGAGTATTTCACGAGGTGTACTGCAATAAAGGGGATAGGGGAAAAAAACAGGCTATAAATCTTGCAAATGGTAGCTTCAAGTGAACTCACTTTGACTTGAACATAAATTGTTGGCATCAGAGAATGCTCGGGGACGTTTTTAGGTTGGGTATGAGTGTCAAAACAAATGTCATTAGTAAGTTAATAGGTTGTGGTTAGCGGCTCGATCCTAAAAAATCAATAATATGGATACCGAAGTCGGGGCTGATATTGATCAATACGAGTGTGCTGAGATCACTAAAGCGGTTTCGGTTTCTCTCCTGTCTGCACTGCTGCAGTTTGATCAAATACAAGATTTGAACTTCAGGCTCTCCC